AGGACAGGGATGATGGTGTAAAACATCTGCTCAAACTGAACCCTTCCAAGCTACAAAGGGTAACAAAATATGCTTTATTTTATTCTTCTGTAATTGTTACTCTAATGCGTCAACACAACACATATGCATCGTGATGATCTCGTGAATAATTTTGTTCGTGAACAAAGCACTCAAGTCGCTTCATAAAATTGAGGTTAAATCACTGGAGTCTCATGGATTACTTTAACCATGTCTTTAGCTTTATGGGGCTTGAAAGTGGTAGTTGCATAGACAGTCAATGGAGCGACATAAATCTCTCAGATTTCTTTAAAAATATCTTCACTTGTGTTCTAAAGATGAACGAAAGTCGTACGACATGAGGGTGAGTAATTAATGACAGAATTTTCATTTTTGGGTGAACTAACCCTTCAAGGTATATTTTTAGTTTACCATACAGTAAATGATTCCCAGTGTATTTGGCAGTGCACTTTAAACACATTTGAAAGGCTATAGAAGTCTATGAAATGAAATATCAATATGTAAATTAAAACAGCACAACTAAAGAGCTCTTTAGTTTATAGTTTATACATTTAAACTATGCTACATTTTCATTTAATTGTAAATAACATGCAATTAAGTGTCAGAAAACATTACATTCAATTCACACTTCAGTGGATTTCTTAAAGTACATTATTTCCGTAATACGCACTCTTTTTAAAAGTACGCTAAAGTTTGAGCTCCTTAACTTACACAGGGGCTTTTTCTGTCTCTCTGTCTTTCTAATTTGATTTTCCTTCCTCATTCCTTGATCATCATCAGTATTCAGTGCTGGGGTTTGGCATAAATAAGCCGTTCAGTGAGCAGGGCTTTCCTGCACAGCTACTCCTTCCTCATTCTGATGGGACGAGTGCTTTTCCGTGGCACATGTCCCACCGGGCTGTTCTCTGACTGAACATGGAGAAGGTAGAGCGAAAGGTTGCACAATGATTTATTGCTGCATTTGCACCTAGATCCCAGTCAGATAACTCAAGTTCAATAAATTCCTCTCTCTCTCTCACACACACACACACACACACACACACACACACGGCTTTCTAAGACTGCGGGAACCGGAGCAGTTACCCCTCCATGCGTCGGCAGATAGATTAGCATCCGGCTCAAAGCAGCAGCACATCAAAAGAAGCTTTGATGCTCAGTACGGCTACACAGAGGGGCAGGTGAGGGGAAGGGTGGCCCCGTGCCGTCGACGAGGATTCTGGGAAATACTCCCAGCTTTTAGAGCTGGATATATCTATAGCCTTCTCGTAGTGGGAGATGGATGTAGAGCCTGGGAAAGAGCTTTATTCGGGATGAAAAAGTGCATACTTGCTGTGGTGAGGGTGGCCATGTGCTCTGGATGTTCAATGGTTTGAGTGGGACCATATGGAAGGCTATTCATGTATACAATATGATGAATAAATGATTCTTCAAGCTCAGCACGTGGTATTTGCTTTCTTTAGCGGTGATTATTCACAGCACAAACCGAGAAATGCATTGCATAATATGAACGTTTTAACACCTCCAAGGTGTAATTGCTCAAAATTGTGAAACACAGCTAAAGAGAACTCTGTTTGTGTTAGTCAGTGTAGTCTTTCAGTTGTTGTCTCTGTCTAGTCGGAGATTATGTTTAATTACCGCTTTTATTACAGACATTGCCAAACACTCCGCTAAGATATTGTGTCTTTTCATGATCTCTCTTGAGAACTAGATGAAAGCTGGGATTTCAACAGAAAACACGCAATACACAATGTTCCTTTTTTGTGCCGCTGTTATCCTAGCAGATGTGTATCATATAGGTAGGTGTATTATGTACATTCAAACCTTCCTCCGTTAAATTATCAAATAAAACCATGCTGGTTGACCAATTTCACGTTTTCCATCAAGTTTACCCAATGGATATACTGGTCCACAAACGAGATTAGCGCCAAACTAGGGATGTGCAAAACAACATTTTCAAAGATTGTTTCTCTTCAGTTACCTGTTCCCTTTGTTCCATTTTCCCGCTCTTCATTTGTTACCATGGTAAAAAAAAATCACCCCGTATACCCTCAAATAGGGCATTATTTGAAGGGGACAGCCATTTGTAGTGGTGTCCGAAACCATCGTGGAAATTATCGAGTGCACTCATTCTATCCCACATTGCACCGTAATAAGTGTACAGCCAATGAACGCTGAACGGCTTACCGAATTTCTCAGTCGTTTTCATTCACTCCTTCAAGTGAACCGTATTAGTGGAGTAACGTAGGGAATCGTGATTGAGGTTTTAGGGGGCGATTTCGGATTCAGCCCCTGTGTATTTCAGTCCTTCAGTTCATTCTCTTCATGTAATCTCAGATGGACTCAATGCAAAAGAGGGTTTGCGCTGGCGCAAGATGTCAGTTAATCTCGCCCTTGATGCCTTCGGTTCGTTTGGATAATTTGAGCGCTGTTTTCCTAACTCAAGTGCGCACCCGCAAACTGTACCTGAGTCCACAAAAAGAGCAGCCGAACACTGGTTCGGACCAGGCCATCGAACCAATTGTGAAAGCATCCTTAAACTAAAAATTGGTAATTGAAATAAAGTTGAAAGAAAATAAAATGAAAAATGTTAAATAAAAAAAAAAAGGAAAAAAGGAAAATTAGAAATATTGTCTTAGCAACTAACTTAAAATAAGTTGAAGTTAAAACTAAAACTGAAATAAAAAAAGCTAAATATAAATATTTAAAAAAACAAAAGCCAATAAAAGAAAATGACTAAAGCACAACACGATGACTAAAACTAAAATTGAAATGAAAAGTGAAAATATAAAAATAAAAATGATTTCGAATATTATTTAAATGGTATATAAACAACACTGCTCCTTGTGCATACAAAAATATCAATGGATTTTTGCAATAAATGGCAAAAGGACTGTTTGGAAATTTTAAAATCATCTAAGACTTTGCACAGTATTATGTTGTACATCCCAGCAGTAATTCATCATGGCCTAAGCCAGTGATTTTTTCAGCAGGGAGCACTAATCCAAACATGCATAAGCCACCTTGTCTGGTGTGTGAATTGTGCATCTCCTGATGCTACTGTAATATCTCTATCTCTCTCTCTCTGTGTGTGTGTGTGTGTGTGTTTAGCCACCAAATGCTTGTGTCTGTACCAACTAAGAAAGACTAAGAAATCACAGATGGCAAATGACAAAGCATAATCAAACAAAACAACAACAACAAGAAAAAAAAAAAGGTTTTCCTCTGGGTGGAAGCAATCAACCATCACCTAGTAATTATTTGATCACGAATAAATCAGGTAGCCCTGGCAGTCTTGTTTCAACAGAGGGAATATGGCAGACACACTCCGTCGATCCGCCCTGTTTTATGTGTAATGTGCTATTACAGCTTCTTCTGGCAAATATCCCCAAGAGCGTGTGATAGTGTCTCGCGGTTTTTAATTAATGCGTAAGCCTGGCGATGTTAATTAAAACCAGACTGATCATTACCCACCCGGAAAGATCTTACGGACGCTCGTGCTGCCGGCCAACAAATGCCGAACACAACTGAGGGGTTACTAATAATCCTTCAGTTCAGATGCAATCTTTAGTGGGTTTAAAAAAGTTTTTTTTCAATTGGGGATTTTTAGGTAAATATCTGCATACTCAGTTTATCTTCGCTTTGTTCAATGTCATAATAAGGGCATTCATTGATTGGTTCTCATGCTTGAGCTTCGCGTTACCAACTTTGAATGTTCTCTGTATTTTCGCCCAATCAATATTTATATGTGCATAAAAGCCTAAGTTTAATCTGTTCATCATGTAAAGCGGCTGTGTCTCTTCAGAAAACTAGGATTAAACCGTTTGATTTATATGGATTACGTTTACGATCTATCTATGAAAGTTGTGAAGCATCAGATTTTAGGCTTTCAATAGAGAGACAGAAATCTCATATTTTAAATAATTATCTTTATTGTGTTCACACCAACAATGATAACTATAAAGAAACAATACAACACAATACAATACAAATTGTATTTCTGTAGCACAATTAAAACAACTGCCATTGGCCAAAGTGCTTAAAAGTACTAGAAGATTTCATATTTCTTGTATTTTGATAAGGTATCAAAAGGTCAACAATATACAGTGTTTTGGGGCAATACCATGCAACGCTTTAAAAACCATCAACAGAACCTTAAAATAAAATAGGCCCTAGTATAGAGTCCTGTGGCACACCACTATGTAATTTAGCTGATGCAGAACACACATTTCCAAAGCTGACCAAAGATAACCATAACAATAACTACATTAGCGTCCACAAATTATCGTTCTGGTTATTATATGTGCACGCTGCCACTTTAAATGCTCTAGCTCTTTCAAGTAGGGTGGATTCTGATTGGCTGTCAATGTATTTATCGTTCATCAGCTGGAAGAAAAAAATCATTCTGAAAGTGATTCCAACTTTTTCAAATTATCATTGTTGGTTGTGGTGTGGACTCTGCTATTCTTTATTTAGAACCATTTTTAAAACGATATCTTTATCTTTGAATGGACCAAGAGTCTGGAATTAAAAGTTGATGATATCGTCATAGATATAGTTATTGTCCTTGGTGTGAACAGGCCTTTATGGGTTTGGAACAACATGACGGTGAGTAAATGATGACAGAATTAACTTTTTTTGTGTGAATTATCCCTTTAAAGCTGCAGTCGGCAACTTTTGTCGCTCTAGCGGTGAATAACCAGAACTGCATGATTCGAGCCTGTCCCATTTCTTGACACCATTCAATTTTTAACATGCTTTTTCATATTTTACACATGTAAAATAAAGACTGTCTGCAACTACATGAACCATAAATCTGGTTCAACATCTAACAGCAAAACCACATGTTTTTGTTGAAACACAAAAGGCTTAGTCCACACCCCTTAAGCACACTTGGAATGAAAGTATGCCAGAAACTTTCTGAAAAAACTGGTTCTCTATTGGAAATGCATTCACGAAAAATGAAAGACTGCAGTATCACTTACTTCATAGGTTTGAACAGGGCTTGCCCGTAGTTCTGGAATGACATGATGAGCTTCAGCTGAGTGCCGCCTGACTTCATAGCTGTGAAAGGAACATAATTATTGTAACACCAGCCGACCAGCTTTCTAAAAACAAGACAATATGAACAAACACCCACACACTAACACAACCTTCTCTTCCAGCATTCATGCTAAATAGCTTTCGCTCTAACTCACACAAACATGTATCAGCTGTGATGTTTTGGGAGTCAGTTTTGTAAACAGCAGTGGTGATTTCTTAGTGCATTTCGTCAGGCTGTCGGCAAATCTCATGATGAACACATGCAGATTTACAAGACTATGCAACCATCTGCTGTTCATGAGAGTCAAAGAGTTGAAAAACATTTGAAATATATGAGATTTTTGTGATATGACGATCTCAGGGTACTTGTTGAGCATAAACGAAAAATCAAGGGCTAATCACGTGACATTCATTTCATTAAAAGTATTGTCTAAAACACTCAAACCATTAAAAAAAGCATTTTCGTTACTTGAAATAAACATTAACTGAAATAAAAATATAAAAACATACAATTTTATTTCAGCTAATATTAATTTCTAATTTTTATTTAGGCCTATGTGAACTTGTATAAAATAACTCAAACTGAAAAAAACTAAATCGACACAACAAAGCCAATAATTTTTTTTACAAAAAATGACAAAACAGTCAAAAAATGTGATACAACCCACCAAAATACTTGATGATGATATTATGAATTAATGAATGATATATATATATATATATATATATATATATATATACAAATATCATTACATTACTTTTGTGGTATAAATGTTTTTCAAAATCAAATGTAACCTTAGTAAGTCTAAGAATTTTGGAGAGCATTTTAAACTATTTGAAGTTGAACTGAAGTCCCTCGCAAGTGTGCACAAGTGGTTTGCGTGTACGTAGGCCTTCGGCAGCTTAACTTAGTCACAACAAATCATATTTACTACAAAGCGAATAATCCCCCAAAATTACACCATGGTGTGTAGAGAGTGAAGTCATGTTTCTCATGGCTTTTCCAGCCAGGGCTGTGTCAGTGCCTGTCTCACATTTTCTCTTTAAGTGTTAGATCCAGACAGTCTAGTTTCGAAAGTCCTAAAACTATGAGAGAAGTCCGAAAACTGACCTTAGATCAGCAGAACACATGTTTTGTCAGGCTGATTAATGAGATTGGACAGCAAAGATGGCTGATACAGCTTTACGTTGAGTAATCCCAAAAAAAATCTGTATCATATTTCCCCAGAGAGCACCTGTGCAATTCTGCAGCAGTACAGTCTTATTGAACTCATTAGTTGAGCAGAGACAAGTCAGTTGGAACAAAGCCATAATGCCGTAGCTCTTAATGTTATCATCTAGTGTATCTAGGTCTACACATATACAAACAAGTATTGTTTAACTGCAGATCTTTTGATTTGCTTCAATCCCCAGAGAACTGCTCTATTTATTTGATTAAATGCGTCCTGAATGTTTCCAGCAACACTATTTTAGTATAATTTTTTGAAAGTGCTGCAATCACCGCAGAGTATTTCACCAAGTGCTGAATTTATAACCTTAATTAATCCTAATATGACTAAAATTACCTCCAGCAAGGTACTATTTGTTCCAGAGGCTGCATTGAGCCACATTGTAAAAAGTGAACAACGGCATTTCGTACCGTATAGAGATGATTTTTTTTAAATGTTAAATACCTTCTCCTATTCCTGCTTAACATGCAGAAAACGAATTAAGCCGTTTGTAAGTTTGAGAAAAGTGTGAACTCGGATATTCTCTGCAACACTGAAAATGCAATTGTAGTATACGTCAAATCTGAAAAGTATTTCAAAAAAACTGTATTTGCAGATAATATAATATTAATGAAATAAAAGGTCACTTTCATGACTGTTTCTTAACCACCTAAAAAGTGGACTTTGTAATAAAATCTAATTAAAATTTGACTTTAAAGTACATTTTAAATCATATTTAAATGTAATATATTTAAATGTATAAATTGTAACTTCATTTGCAATTTATGTGTAATTACAAATTACATTTCAGTTTACCATAAATGCTTGTCAGTACATTTTAACCATGTTGCAAAGACAATAGAAGTAATTATGAAATTGCATAAAAAGGTGTACTTAAGCACTATTTGGGTAGAAAAAAAGCACCTTTAAGCTCAACTGATTGCATTTAATATAAATTTAAACAACACTCTTAAAAAAAAGCTGGGTTGTTTCAACCTATGCTAGGGTCAAATATGGAAAAACCCAACTGTTGGGTTTCAAAATTTAATTAAAACATTTCAACCAGGTTTAAACCATGTGTTTGTCCATATTTGACCCAAACATGGGGTTGAAACAGCCTAGAATGTTCCGTGTATAATACATTTTTTATTTAATTGAAAATAACATGTAATTATGTATCTAAAAACATTACATTCGATTCACACTTAAGTACATTCTTTTAAAGCATATAATTTCTGTAATAAGTACTCTTTTTTGAAAGTATGCTAAAGTGGTGACATTCACAGTAGAAATTATACCCTTCACCATCAATGAACCAATATTTTTAATAACCATTAAAATGGCTTTAGGCAGTGTCAGGTTTTTTCAAATAAATCCACTTAATTTAGATGTTACCACATGAAGCAAACTTGCGAGGTTTGTAGTTATACTTTTTTAAGTTAGAGACTGTTTTTATAAGAGCATCACAATAGAGACGTCTCAGACTGACGTGCCCGGGGCTGGAAAAACTGTCATCTTCAGGTGGACTTTTAGACTAATGGAAGAAGAGAAGTTGTCAATCGCACTTTCTCTAGGGAATAAAAGGAAGTGTGCATGCCACTTCTGCCATCATTCTGCCTACAGAAATAGGCCCTGATGTTCACTAGTCATCTCAAGAGTCTGAGTGCATGCACATGTCTATGTGGATCATTCTGTATACCTCACAACCTTCTAAATAAAAGGCACTTTCCATGAATGGGGGACAAAATAAGGTCTGAAACTCTTAAAAAAAACATACTTAACCTTCAAAAATGTCAACCTCAGGAGGTCAGACTAAATCAGGCGTAGCTAACGTCGGTTCTGGGGGGCCACTGTCCTCCAGAGTTCCCCTTCAGGGACTACCGCTGCGTGTAATCGCAGTGGGAACGCCCTCAGCGTGACGCGTCTGAAGCATGAATGAAATCAGTCAATGGAGAGAATGAGCGTACGGCGAGTGACGTCATCGACCAGGAAGCTATAAATATCCCCTGAGTACACAATACGCCAGCTTTTAGTTACTTCAGCAGCTCTGTGTGTGTCTGAATCTGTCGATTGTGTTTGTCTGTTTTGTCAGGAGTTTTCACTATATATATTTTATATAAAAAAACCAATATGAGCGAGCAGTATAAGAAGTGTGTTGGGAAGTGCAGCAATGCCCAGTCGGCTCTCGAGGGAGTCGATTGTCAGCATTGCGAGTGTTTTCCCTTGAGAACTCTGCGCTCGCGGCGATCGCTCTTCGAGGAGAGTGATTTGCTGCGAGCTCCCCAAGGCTCGGGTCCCGCTTCTGTTGAGGCAGAGCGGCGGCGCTTGTCTTGGGGCTCGCAGATGGATCTCACTGGCGACGTTGAGACGGGCTCCGGCCTATCTCAGCTATCTCCGCCGAGATCTAGTGCCTCTCACCCGGCTCTGGAAGCACGCGCTGCGGCGGTTACTTCTGCCCGGGTGGAGGCACATGATGATGTTGAATTGAGATTTTCCAGTTCTGAGGAGCTGGATGTCGAAAGTTTTGCATCAGAGAAAACTAGTTTATCACATTATACTGCAAATGAAGAAGGTTTGATGGATGTGTTATCTCGGGCTGTTGAAAAGCTGAAGAAAAAAAAAAAAAAAACAGTATCGAGTGGCCAGCTGATAGACAGGTTTCTAGAATTAAAAGCAATCTAGATGATAGATTTCTGTCTGCACGACTTCAACCTTCTCGCCGGTGCTTACCGTTCTTCCCAGATCTTCATACTGAGGTGTCAAAGACCTGGGTTAGACCGGTTTCAAGCAGAATTTACACAAATCAGTCCAATGCTTATGGTAACATTGTTGGTGCTAAATCTGCTGGTTATGTGACGATACTGTAGGCGGAGGAGACGCTCGCGAGCTATCTCTCTCCTGCTTCATCGTCTTCACTTAAAGCACCGGCTCTTCCACCAAAAATAAATAAATAAATAAATATATATACCTCTGTGCTGGTGGGGAAGGCTTACTCGGTGGCTGGGCAGGCGGCTGCATGTTTGCATACGAAAAAATAAAAATAAAAATAAAAAGACTTTTATGCAGGCTTTTCAGGCCGATCAAAGGAAAATCTGAGGGGGTTCCCCGCCGAGAGAGACTTGCGTTCACCTCCCTTAAGGGTGCCCTGTCTCTCCCGGCGCCCTCAGGGGCCCGTCCTACTAACCCTGCCGAAACAGGGCGTAGAAGGGTCTGGCGAGTGCTTTCCCGAGGGACGCTCGCCGCCTCTAAGGAGGGTTCTAGTGTGTTCAGACCAGTCGTTCCCTGCTGGTGCGCCGTTACAGGGCACTGTGTCTGTCACGCAGAATGTTCAACCAGAGCAAAGTTTTTCGTCGAGTTCGTCTTCCAAAAGAGCACAGCAGAAGCGGAGTGTCAAGTCTCGTGCCCTCCTGCAGAGAAACTGGAGGGACGAGGCGGGCGCTCTCCGGCGCGGCCTTCTCGGGGCAGGACTGATCTGAGGACAGTCATTGTCGCCAGAAAGGCCGCGTCGAAAAAGTCCTGACGGGTTGAACGTCAGGACTCTGAGGGTGGTCCCCATCGGGAAAAACTTGAGTTCACCGCACAAAAACACGGTGCCCTGTCTTTCTCGATGCCCTCAGGGGTCTGTTCTACTAACCCTGCCTATACAGGGCGTAGAGAGACTCGGCGAGCGATTTCCCGAGGGACGCTCGCCCCCTCCAAGGAGGGTTGTGGAGTGTTCAGACCAGCTGTTTCCTGCCAGTATGTTACAGGGCGCTGTGTCTGTCACTCGGGATGTTCATCCAGAGGCCAGCCTCGAGAGGCTGGTTCCCTTAG